ATACAACAGCATCAGATATTTATTCATTTGGAATAATTATGTGGGAAATTTTATATGGAAAATCAGTATCTTATAATCAAAATTTTGGAACTCAACTTCAAATAAAAATATGTCGTAATGATTTACGACCAACAATTATTGAGAACACACCACAATGCTATATAAACCTAATGAAGAAATGTTGGGAAAAAGAACCAGTAAACCGCCCAACAGCAATGAAGATCTGTGAAATCCTTACAAGATGGCAAAGCGATGAAATTATTTTATTAGAATTAACGAAATCAGAAGGAATATTAAAAAATTTTAAAAATACACAACTACCAACATATGCTGATGAAATTTATACAAGTAAATTTATTAATTATACTTCGTCATTTTATCATGGTAAATTATATTTTTTAATAAATAAAAATTATTTTGAATATTATTAATAATAATTTATTTAATTTAACAGTTATCGAAATGAATGAGCTGAATATTAAAGAATAAAACAAATAACTTGAAATTTATAATTCATAAGTTATGTTTTATATAGTTATCTAATTTAAGTAATTTCTTGAATAAAAATATGTTTTATTTATAGTCTATTTATGGTTCAGTGTTATATACAGGATAACTAGAAAAAAGTTGGGACAAAGTTGTAATAATTGAGATTTTTAAAAAAAGCAATTGCTCAAAATTTATTGTCGCGGATGAAGCTAGAAATGGCTGATACTGGAAATTTAATATGAAATTAACAAAAAATTTTGGGGTGCATTTTCATGATTTTTTTTTTATAGTTAGATTAAAATTTAGGGTTAGGGTTTATAACAAAAGAGTATACGTAGTTGGATTTTAGCAGGGTTTATAGTTTTAAGTTAAGACCCCTAATTTCCAGCATCAGCTTCAGCCATGACATTTTTGAGATAACTTATTTAATAAAATTGATTTTACATTTTTTCTAGCATTTTTATAAGTTAAAGTTTAAAATTAATGCAAATTGTATCAATGTTACTATGCAATATAATCTTTACATTGATAATGCTATGAATAAAAAAATTATTAACCAGCTACGATTATAATTAGTGTTTCGGGCGAAATTATATATTTCGCCCAGGCGAAATTTCCGAAATAGGGCGAAATATATTTCGCCAAAAGACCAGAAATCCGATAATTCCGAAACTGGTGAAACTGGCAAAATGTCTGAAAGTCTGAAACCTGGCAAAATGTCTGAAACCTGGTGAAACCGAAACGTCTGAAATCTATAATTATAAATTTGATTTTTTTTTTGGAAAAATATCCGGAGAGTAGTGAAACGGAGTTAAGAGTCTTGGCTAAAGCTCCTTCTAATTGGATGATGTGAACAAGTCCCGCAACTACCAAAAATTCTCTCTGACACAATATTCAACCAATAGAATTTTACGCATGTATAATTTTTAAAACCTTGTCTTGACAACCACTTGGCCAAATTTGATGAAATTTTTCACAAATTTATTAAATTCCAATTAAAAAAATTCATCAAATTTGGCCAGATAGTTGTCGAGATATCTTTGCACAAAGTTTTAAGAGAATTTAAATTTCAAAATTTTTTTAAAATTTGAGCGAAGATATCCCAATACCTACTTGACTAAATTCGATGAAAATTTTTTTTATTTAAGTTTTAAGGACATTAGAACTAAAGTTATCTTGATAACTATTTGACAAAATTTTTTTATTTTGCTCAAAGCTTTTAAAAAACTTCAAAACGTCTATCAAAAACATAGATGCTGTGCCGAAATTTTTTTTGAAGCTTTAAGTTAAAATATCTCGACACCTACTTGACCGAATTCGACTAAAGGTTCTTGGAATTCAAATAAAAAAAAAAGAAGTATAGAATTTGGTCAGGTAGTAGTTGCCCGCTTAAAGTTTTTAAAAAAATTTGGCGCAGCTTCTATTTGATATTTTATCTAAGGAACCGCGCAGATCCTAAATTGTGATTGGCTAACATAATTTACAAAAAAAAACATGCTCAAAATTTTATTAATGAAACCCCTGCCACTACGTAGAGATGGGCAAGGTAATTTACTTATTACGTAAAAGTTCAATCACATTATCGTTATGCGCTAATATTATATACTCACAAATAATAACATACTGAATTGTCGTATAATGTGATTTAACTTTTACATCATAAGTAATACCTTGCCCATCTCTACCTGCTACCCATTAAGTAAAAATAATCCTGGCATAATTTTACCATGGACCTAGTCTATTTTCTTAAAAATTAAAAAATCATTTCCGGCCAAAATTATAAAGTTACATTAATGCAGGCCAAGTGCCACGCATTTTTGAGTTTTTTATAAAGTTGGCGAATCAAATTTGGCTAGCCAATATATCAATTTTTCTAATACATGAGCAAAATTCTATTGGTTGAAATGTGTTACCGATTATTTTTGTGGTATTCTGGATCTTTTCACACCATAGAGCTTTTGCCGAGACTTCACTATGCTCCGAATATTTTTTTCAAAAAAAAAACCCCCCAAATTTCTAATTTTAGATTTCGGACATTTCACCAAGTTTCGGTTTCGCCGGGTTTCGGACATTTCGCCAATTTCGCCCATTTCGGAAATTTCGGAAGTTTCGGAAATTTCGGATTTATTTCGCCTTTGGGAGAGTTTCGGTTTCGCCTTTCGGATTTTGAAAATGGATTTCACCCGAAACGCTAATCTGTGTGATATTTGTCTACAGCATGTGTTGGGCAGCATTAAGAATAGCACAAATAGTGTTGGGTAGCATTAAACATAAGCCGAGTAGTTTGTGCAGCATTAAGAGATTCCGAAACAAATATACAGATACCAAAGTCAAAAACTATAGGCTTAAAATTTAATAAAAAACAATACGCTTTATATTTAACAAACATATAGCCATCAAGAAAATTAAGCGTAACAATCTTAAACATTTACAGTAACTTGCGAAATAAGATAGCTAAGCACAAACTAAAGGCTAGGCCAAATGACTCGTAAAGTGTAAAAACAAAAAAACATTTTTAAAATAACTTAAAATAAGTGAAAGTTCATCATAATTAAAACGATTATATGCTTAGAATTGATTCGAATTCAAGAATCGATTCAAAAATATATAATCGTTTCTAGAAATGATTAAACCGATTATCAAAGATTCGATTCTCATCCCTAATCCTGGGGTAGTTATCACTGGGTTCCGTGTTCTTGAAGTCTCCCTTTAAAATAATTATCGCACGAACCGTAATATATAGCCAATGTTTATTCGTCACGACTATGATTGCTCACATTCTATACACCGAAATCAATAACTTATCGAATTGGACAAATAATTATTCAGTCAGTTTTTTATCAGGTGTTCCAGAAATTATGATAACAGCTGTAATAAAAAAAAGGTTTCAAACCCACTTCACTGACCTGAGCGGGATATGAAAACAAATTATATAAATTTGCGTGAACTAATCTGATTTTTATTATTTTTCAATAAATAGATTGCTAGAAGTCATAGTTTTACATTTTTTGAAAACGGCATTAACAAATTTACAGTATCCTGTATGTGATAAATTCGACCTTTACAAAATGCAAACCAAAGACCGAAAATCATGTTTTAACTTTTGATAATACTTCAATTTCACATTTTCAACTTTCAGAAATTAAAAATACTTCCAGTTTCATTTCATTTTCAAAATTAAAAATTAGCTACACATTATTTACAGTAATTAAGTATTCAGAGTGTAAGATCGTTAATTAATGTAAATATATTCAAATTAATTAATAGTCATATCATACATAATCTGTTAACACATATGTAACTGACTATTCTAGCTTATATTATATTAGGTATTAAATTTATTTATAATAAATAAATAAGATGCGTTCGCAAAGCGCTACTTATGAAGTTTGTTAATTGCAAATTAAAAGGAAAAAAAAATCTAAATCAAATTGTCCTTGACTATTATTTTTGATATTTCCAAGAACTTGCTAATAAATCTATCCATTTGTTCAGAATTAATAGAAATAGAACCATCATGATGTAAAATGCACATATGCAATATGTTATCATAAGAAATGGAATTTACCCTCATTGTAGTAAATTTATTTACTTCACCAGAATTATTTAAATCGACAACTTTTAAATTCAATCGTTTTCTATTAGATGAGTTTTTAGGGAACTTTCCTAAATTGGACATTTCTAATAAAATAGATCTTTGCGTTTTGTCTTGATTTTCTACATTATTCTTCTCATTATTCGTATCTTTCGCATTTTTATCTATAATGTCTTCAACAATTTTAAGTACATTGTTGGTTTTAGCATTATTTTCCTCTACATTATTTTTATCAGTTAAAGTTGAAAGATCGGAATGAATAATTAATGTATAATTATGACATAAACTCCAAAATTGTTCTTTAAAATTATTATCAGATAATCCAATAGAAGAAATTTTATCCATATTAAACTCGTATGAAAGCCCACCACTGAAATTTCCAAATTCTCTCCAAGAAACCTGTGGAGGTACCCTTTCTCTTAACGAGCATGGCACGATAACATTTAAAATTTGAGTGTCAAGTGTATGTATAATAGTTTCTCTAATTGAAAAAAATGTCAACATATTCAAGACGGAAAGAATACAAGTCCCGTAAGTTTTAGCTAATGAAAGTATAGGCGTGAATTCTTTTTCAGATAAAGAAAAATAACGAATTTTATTAATACTGTTAGGGACATCGTATTGACGTATTTTACTAAACCAACTAGTTAATGTGGGGGTTGTGAAAGGAGAATTCTTTTTTAAAGAATTATCTTCAGATTGAAACATTTTTCTAAAATATCTTACTGGATTCGCAATAACCATCGATTGATCAATAGTAACTTTTAATTTGAAACTATGTGTTTTTCTTTGAGAAAAAACTTCATCCATTTCTTCCATAAGAGTTGCTTGAAATGCCATTGAACTTATCCCATCACCAATAACATGATGACATGTGAACATTATACATAAATTGAAATCTGATTGTTTTTCTGAATCTCCATGTAATATTTTATTGTTTGTTCCAACAATAATACGCCAGTAAGGTTTCGTTTCATCATCTAAATCGAATTCTGTATAAAATTCTTTTTCCATAATATTGACAAGTTCTTCATTTGACGAGATTGAAACAAATTTGACAACACTTGAAAAATCTATTTCAGGTAAAATGACAAATTGTGGGTTTGATGTCTTTGCATCTTTAATTGAAATACACAAATGAGGGGTTTTAGAAATGACTCTTTCGAGGGCTGGGAAAAGAATCTGAGAGATATTAATTTCTAAAAATGGATTCTGTAAGTTAACTAATTCATCCCAATAATATCTTACTGTGAAATAAACATTGCTTTTACAAATATTTAATGATTGATATTTTAAATAAATCCTTTCAAGATCATCAAGTGGGCGAAGAATTTTCATATTTTGAAACTAATTAACGTGAAAAAAAAAATTACAGTGCAAATTCATGCATTTTATAGAATAGACTTTTTTACAATTTACAAAATGTTAGATCGTATTTCACATGTATAACACTGAATGTACAACTATTCTATACGTATTAATATAGCTATGTAGAAATAAGTGATTTAATTACTGATCCGAATAAGATCACAATTTTCTAAGAGGCAAAATTCCTGATATTAACTATATGCTGGAATCTGAGCAGTTCAATGATAAGTAATTTTTTTTTATTAAGTTGGCAACTCAAGTCATCTAATGGTGGTTAGATCATCCAAATCGGCCTAGTGTAATCACTAAAAAACGCTTAGCAGATTAGATAAATTTCCACGTTTTGTTTATATAGAATTTTATATAGTCAGCCGTAGGAATTGGAACCGCCTAGAATTTCTTTAATCGCATTAAGATAACCTTGGCCCATGATCAACAGGTAGGTTAGTCATGGCAAAATAATGTCGCGGTCTCGTGATCACCGATCATTTCCGACGTAACCTGAAAAGGTTAAAATAGGTATAACAGATAACGATAACTGATAACTGATAACATGATACCTGATACGTAAATTATGTTATATGTATACGCAGGATCGGAAATGGTCGGTGATCACGAGACCGCGACATTTTTTTGCCATGACTAACCTACCTATGATCAACATAATTCGGCCCGAAATTATGAAACAATTTTTATGCGGTTAAACTGTTCCAAGCCGAGTGTTTTATAATGATATCTCAGCATCCACTAGGCATATTTGGATGATCTAACCACCATTAGATGTGTCTCAGTGAGCTCTACAGCTTTTAATTAATCAACTTGAGTTGTTAATTTAATAAAAAAAAAAATTACTTATTATTGGACTCCTCTCGAGTCAAGCATATAATAAAAGTTTATATTGTACTTATCCCCAAAATTTACTATTGTCCCAATGTAGCGATTTTATTCGGATCATCAATTAATAAGAAATCACCCGTAACCAGGTGGTAATCAAGTGAATTTACATGTGAAATGATGTAAATTTTTTATTTTTTTTTAATCAAAAATTAAAAGGCCAGTCTGGACCGGACCGATCAGCATGGTTAAATATCCATTTGATTGGTTGTCGATCCTTAAAATTTATATGAAAATGCACTCGATACAAAAGAAAGTGATACTAACGAATAATATTTCGAGTAGCAAATAATATACCAGGAACGGAGTACAAAGTACGTAGTGTATGGTTTACAGGCAAGTTAATGTGTCTGTACAATTATCAGCATTTGATTGGTCTGCGTGACTCTGTTCGTCACATATTGTTATGCGTTGTCTATTTTTCACATGCCATTTTTCATACCTTATATGTTAGGGAGTGTAGGGTATTATGACACACTTAAGAGTTGCTTATATAAAAATTTTTAGGAATAGCGTATTTATTTACAAAATTTATTGAAATAGATTACTCAGTGAATTAACTATCTGCATAAAAAAAAAAAAAAAAAAAATTCGACTTTAAAAAAAAATATTGAAATATGAGGTTTCAAAATCTACTCAAAAAATGCTGTTTTTTACATTTGGGGGTATTATGGCGCACCATGTTCACTATGTGTTTCGTATTGTATTATTGCATCCTTCCTCCGGACATTACCCAAATGAGGAAATATAATATAAAAATTAAAAGAAACTTAATACCGTCATAAGCAATGTCGACTTTTACTTATATATTGTGATTTAGCAATTAGA